GAGTTGCAAAAGACGAGTTTCGCCCTGCTCTAACCAGATCGCTGACAAGGAAGTCATGGGCTACTTCTAGGAGTAAAGAGAGAGACTATTGTTTGAGCTTTCCATGGCCATGAGGGAATATGTGAAAGAAATTTTATAGGTAGAACCACTGGTGGCCCTGCCCTTGAAAAACTAACAAAAAAATAAAGGACAAAGGAAAGCTTTTTGGCTGTCATTGTGAGGCAAACAAGAAGACAGAATCACACTAAAAGAATATTCCCCCTACTTTTCTTCCATCATAATAAGTAGAGGCCACAACTGTATTCATTCCAAAGTTCATTCCACAACGATTTACTGAGCACAGCCACGTGTTCTCTCTGTAATGAACTGTAATGGAGATGAGGGACCATTTTCAGAAGGAAAGCCACAGTCTGGGAAAGGGGGACAAGTTGCCAAATTCCTTGAGTAACTGGCTCCTGAGAATCACTCCAGAAGAAAGTCCTTGGGCTAACAACTCCAGAAAAACAGGTAGGAACTGGAATGGGCTGGAAATGGAATAGCGTAAGCCCGTGAGGAATCTTTCTAGGATCCTCAGCCGTCTAAAGTCTTTGTCATTTGAAATACACATCCCAGGGCGGCAGGAGAGAAAGTCTGTGGGTTGTCTGTCACTTTTTGTAACTTTCAATACACTCAAGACTTCTGGGTGATGGAAGGGTGAGGATCCTAGAAACAGCAAAAATCCGCAACAGGAATTTAAAAGGAGAATTTGTAGAGGGACTACAAAAGTCACGCATTGAGTTTCTTCCTGTCGATGCAGAAAAAAAAAAAGATCGACCCTTTCTCCCCAAATAATGCAGCGTCATTTGAATAATTCTCCAGTCTTTCAGGGGTTTGGCTGTGACAGATGAAAATACTTTCATTTCAAAGTGACTATCCACTTGAAACAGAACAAAAAAAGCCACTTTCATTTATACTAGTGGCTTTGTGATAACCGAGAAGGGCTCAGCTTTAGCCGGTGTCCCCAGCATTCCTGCAATCGCTTTCTGCTTTCCTCCCCCTCTAAGAAAGCTCTGGGGATTCCACGGCTTGGACACCCATGTGTGTCCTTTACTAAAAAGGAAGAGATTCTGAAGAAGTCAAGTATGCGTGCACACTCTGACAGCAAGCTGCCAAATAAACTCCACGCAATTTGTTATGGGATTGGCTCAGATATTTTAGAAAACTCTGGAAGCAATGTAGGTGTTGAAGATCAGATTCTATTATCCACCTCAGCTCTAGCTACTGACCCCTGCTAAGAAGATAGCCCCCATGATACCTTCCTCCTATGAAAAATTCCGTTAGAGTTGTTATTTCAATTCACAGGGCTGGCTTTAGGAACACCATCCACCATTAATTCCTGTATTTAAAAAGAATTATATAAAACCACTCATTAAGTCTCAGGTCAAAGCTTAAATGAAAATATTGAGCACGATTTTACTGAAGTACAAAAATACTTTCCTTGTTATCCTAGGTCCTGTGTGTAAGTAAAATGGATGATTATTAATGGGAGAATTCGTTGGGTGTGAAGACCGATAGTTTACACGTTATTAAAAGCCCTCAGCACAGTCCTTAGCTTGTTACATGTCTACATACCTAAGATTATCTATCATTGCGCTCATGTATTTACACCCATTGATAGGCAAACATGTTGCACATTTTAAAGTATGCCTTTTAGGACGATAGACCGAACTTCTGAAATGTGGATTAAGAAAGGCATTCAGTGAAAAAAATATTTAGAAATATTTTCCAAATCTGTTGAAAAATACTTAAATGCAGGTAAAAATTTGGTCCTACAGAATCTTTTGGTCACTGTTTTCATTACCCTTGGTCACCGGGTGTTAATCTCTGTCTGAAGTAGATTATTGCATGCACTTGGCAAGAACAATTAAATCAATCTTTTCAGGTCTTTCCTTCATTAAGTTTTAAGATTGCCTTCCTAAGTTTTCCCAGCACTCAGATTTGAAACTTTTTTCCTCTCCCAGATTCTACCAAGGAAATCATATTAATACAATGTGTTTGCATAACAAAAATACATTTTCTCTTAAAATAAACATAGATATGTTGACTTGCAATTTCAGTTTGTTTTTTGTATACTTTGAGGATTTATTTTAAATGATTCAAATACTGTATACTTACTAAATTTCAAGGGAAAATGAATCAAGATGACAATAATTTATAGGGCTTTGTTACAAAATAATCTCTTAAAGTATAAAATAGCAATTCCAATGTCAATGTTAGCCAAGCTTGTACTGTTGTTATTAACAGCTATGTTATGGGTGCTGGACCACGGTATGTATGTATATTCACATAGATGGATGCTGTAGAAATAATATTTTCTTCTCCGTCACCTTTCATTAAACACACATGATGATTCTCTGATGGGCCTCCCAAGTTCCTAGCTCCATCCTCTGGCTAGCATCCAGCTTCCAGAAATACAGATCTGGTCCCTGTTCTGCCTTGGCTCATGTACTGCAAGACCTTCCCCAGGAGTGTGTGAACAGAGACAGACTGGGTGACTTTATTTCCACCTCTTCAAATCTCTATATGAATTCTTTCCTACAATAGATCCAAGACTGAACCTACTGCCAATATCATCTGCTTCTCTGTCAATTTAGCAGAAGTCACAAGAAGACCATCTTCCCAGCCTGCTAAATGCAATACGATGTGTGATTACAAAATACAGACCTTAAGAGAAGAATTTACAACAAAATTTTACTTTGAAATTTAAATTATAAAAGCACTCATTTACATGGCTTGGATTCATTTAGTAACCATAGTAATTATAATAACTCAACTCAATACTAGGGATATCCACATGTATGAAGAAGTGATATAATATTTTGTTTGAGCTGTCAGCACCTACAATGTGGCATAAAAGGCTCCACTTTTAACTCTTTCAACTTATGAAAAATATTTTAGATAATCATGTCACAATAACTATGAACTCAAATAAATTTTATAAATTATTTTAGCGGTGATACAAATAAAAAATGTGAAGACATTTGATGCTGGATCTATACCTCTCTTTTTGTTCCAGGTTGTGCCTTGAAGGAGCTTCTCATTATTTTCTGTAACATCAGAGAGGTTAGAGTCACTTCGGGCTTCCAGGGTGTTGTATGTGAATGCATTTGCAACGTGAAAGTGAAGTCTTTGGAGAATACAATTCTTGTTATAATGGGGAAAGGTGAAATGGAATCAGAATACAGAATGCTGTGACATTGCTTCAGAAGTAGAAAAACACAGTACTTTGGAATGTATGTGAGATGAAAACTAATAAGGACTCTGTTGAAGGTAGGTGGTTGATTTCCTTCCTTCCTTCCTTCCTTCCTTCCTTCCTTCCTTCCTTCCTCCCTCCCTCCCTCCCTCCCTCCCTCCCTCCCCTCCCTCCCTCCCTCCCTCCCTCCCTCTCTTCCTTCCTTACTTCCTTCCTTCCTTCCACCTTTCTCATTTTCTCATTCCTTCCATCCTCTCTTCTCCCTTTCACTCCCTCCACCCCTCCCTTTATTCTTTTTTTTTCCTTAAGCAGTATTACCAAGAAGACCAGGCTGGCTTTAAACTCCTTCTCTATCTCTTCTTCCATATTAAGACCATAGGAGTGCTGTGGGACAATGGTCTTTACCCTAGAGATTTGCTACTTGTATTTCAATAAAACACTGATTGGCGAGTACCCAGGCAGGAAGTATAGGTGGGGCAACCAGACAGGAAGTATAGGTGGGGCAAGGAGAACAGAAGAATTCTGGGAAGAGGAAAAGTCAGTCTGCAGTTGACACAGAGGAAGCAAGATGAGAATGCCTCACTGACAAAAGGTACCAAGCCTTGTGGCTAACACAGACAAGTACTATGGGTTAATGTAAGTTATAAGAGTTATAAGAAGCCTGAGTTTATAGGCCAACCAGGTTATAATTAATGTAAACCTATATGTGTTTCTTTGGGACTGAATGACTGTGAGACTGGGCGGGACAGAAACTGCTGTCAATATAGGAGTCTTTAAAATATGGTATTTCCAAAACATTTTCCTTACAAATGTTAGATGCACACATATGCTTTTAAATATAAAATAACCTACACATAAATTATTGGCAAAATTTATATAAGTGAGACCTATGAGGAGAAAGAAATTAGCATCTCCAGCTCCTCAGACAAATCTCAAAGCTGTAGGGTATCAACAAAAATTATTTTACTATGTATGAAAATAATCTTTGGGAAGGATCTGAAGTGAGAAAGAGATGTCTAGATCCCATAGAGAGAGGAGGAGAAGAAGGGAGGCCAGCTGAGTTACTCATGGCAATGACTGTGCACTCTTTTCTATTTTTGCCTTTCTGGATCTTTTCTGTATCAGCTATAACAATAGTACATTGTTTGTGAGAGCCATATTCAGATCCTGCTCAGACAAGAACTGTCAATCATTTCATGCTTATCATCTGCCTTCTGTGGAGTGTAAGCTGCATGAAGACAGGATTCCGCCATGAGCCAGGCTCACTGCTCAGGGCTGTATGCCCAGGGGCTCCTGTTACTGCCTGGCCCCAGGATGGAATAAAATGTCTCTAAATAACTGTCTTTTAGCAAATCAAAGAATGACTGGTTGATATTTTGGTTTCAGAGTCATGGAAAGCAAGGATGACGGGAGCTTGAAGAATGGTCTGGTCACACATGTGAAGCACTAAGCATGATCTGCAGCAAGAAAGGGGGTGCATTAGATCTAGGACATAGGGGATCACTTGGAAATTTTTCAGTTAATATTTGAAAAAAAATTTTGAAAAGTTAAGTGAAATACAGACTAAATAAGAATCAAGATTCAAGGAAACTTTTACTTATTTAGACATGATAATGAAAATTACTTATGTGAACAGGAACAGTAGGTATTTTCTGTTATAGACCTAAATGAAAAGAGTCATTTATTCTTAATAAAGAATTTGTGGCTTTCAAGCCATGTAAGAGCTCATTTAAAACTTAAAACTTCACGAATTTGCAAATTCGTGAAGCGTTCCATATTTTTGCAATGAGAAGATTGTGGTCCTCCTGCAGCGCCTAAAGCCTGAGATCAAGGATGTCATTGAGCAACTCAATCTGGTCACTACCTGGCTGCAACTACAGATACCTCGGATAGAGGATGGGAATAACTTTGGAGTGGCTGTCCAGGTAAGAGCACTGCCCCTCGATCCTACACAGCCCTCCCGGGTAGCCCATGCTTCCTTCTCACCCCTTTCTTTCCCAGGAGAAGGTGTTTGAGCTGATGACCAGCCTTCACACCAAGCTGGAGGGCTTCCACACTCAAATCTCTCAAATCTCTAAGTACTTCTCAGAGGGGGGCGACGCAGTGGCCAAAGCAGCCAAACAGCCCCACGTGGGTGATTATCGACAGCTGGTGCACGAGCTGGACGAGGCAGAGTACCAGGACATCCGGCTGATGGTCATGGAGATCCGTAATGCTTATGCTGTGTTATACGACATCATCCTGAAGAACTTCGAGAAGCTCAAGAAGCCCCGTGGAGAAACAAAGGGAATGATCTATTGAGCCCCCTCTCTCATTCCATGATGGGGTACAATAGAGACCTTCCTGCTCTTCATTGGGAATTATAGACTGTATCCAATCTTCTTCCTGCTGGGGTTTCCCCCTTACTCTGCCTCCCAAACACAATAAATATATGGTTGCCCCCCCCCCAAAATAAAACTTAAAACTGCTCATTGAGTTACCCATCTCATGTCTGGGCACTGAGGTAAGAAAGGCCACCTGCCTCGTCCAGAGTCAAGCCAGTGGTGGACTTGGGGGACCACACTAAGATAGGGCACCAGCTGCACTCCAATGTCAGTGCTAAGGGAATTCTTAAAAAAAAAAAAAAAAACCCAGAGAAATGTGCGCATTTTTGTTTTTGAAAAATGCAGCTATGATACGGATCAGCCTAATAGGGATTCGTGCTTAACATGCCAGATTAGTCTGTGTAAAAATGTTAAAACAGAGAGAAGCGTTGCTATCTGTCATGTTCATTTACTGTAGCTATTAACTAGAGCCAATAAACACGTGGGTGGTTGGCATCTCTGCACCCTCAGGAAAGGGGGAGTTTCAGTATCATTTGCATTTCGAAATTGAAGTACTTTGCACAAGTCTTGTTTTTAAAGCAGGGAGTATTGGAGGTTATTGGGGGGAACAAACAATGGATCTAGTTTAGACACTTAGCAATAACTCTTGCCCCTGGAAATGACGTGCTTTTGGAGGGTGTGCAGTTCTCCCCAGAAAATGGCAGCACAAGAGGCAGATAAGCAGGTAGATGGGATGGGGGAAAAAACATAATAAACCAGTTTCATCTTTAACGTTCCATATGTGTAGATGAGCATGCTGAGTGTCAGTAAAGAATCCAGACAGATCAAAGAAAGTACCGAGGCGAGGGGCTTTGGCTGGGGAAACCGAGTGTTGTGAAGTATGCGACTTGTTTGTGTCATCCGCCCTACATTTTCCCTCTAGTTGATGTTCTCGTTTCCCACTTTTGACCTTGCTAAACGCAAAGTGCTCCTTGTAGCTTTCCTAAAAATATTGTGCATTGGTATTGAGGATATTATGTATGATTGTGTGTGTTCTGTAGGTCGACTCTCCTGCCTCGGAACACACACAGCAAGAGTTGCACGGCAGGCATCTCCTCTTATGACTCCCCATGTTCTTCCTATAGTTGTTATTGCTATTCAGAGAAAGGGTCTCCCACCGAACAAGCTCACTGAGATGGCGAAACTGGCCAGCAAATCCCAGGGAGCCAATTGTCTCCACCTTCTCTCCCACAGTGCTTGAGTTACAGGTGTGTGGCAACACATCTGGCTTTCACAAAAGTTTTGAGGAACTTAAGTCAGGCTCTCATGCATGCACCATTACACACAGAGCCTCCTCACGGGGCTACTATTACACTTTTTAAAGCAGAGAGATGTAACTATTGGAATAAGTGATTAGTCTGACTAAGGATACTAGAAGGCAAGGGAAATATAGCTTTCAATCAGATCGGTTGGTCAGTGGTAGCGCAAGCCACGTGCTGGTAGTGCACTCGTTTAACCCCAACACTCAGCAGGCAGAGGCAGGTGGATCTCTGTGAGTTCAAGGCCAGCCTGGTCTATAAAACAAGTTCTAGGGCAACCAACACTACAGAGATAACCCTTATGTTGAAAAATCATAAAATTAATCAGTGAGATCTAGACATTTCACACATTTTCAGATTACTGCAAAATGCCCTGCAAGGGTCACCACTGGGTGCCTGAAATGGTCTTCCTAACTTATTGTGCCAGTAGTGGGTAACACACTAATACATAAGCAAACTCAAACTTAGCTCTGCAAATGAGTTTTCCGCAAACGAGTGAAGAACATTTGCGGCTAGGTACGTCTTAAAAAAAAATCATTTCATCTCAGAATCCCAAAGTTATCTCCAAACATCTCTGCATCCTATTTCACTTTGGCCTGCTAATTGGGATCCTGGGTTGGAGTTCAAATGTGTCTGATGGCTGTTCACATTTTAAGGGCTGTAGGTGACCATGCAGCGAGTCACATCTGAAGACTGAGTTTGACCCATCTGGCTCTCTCGTGTCAGAGTTAGAAGTTAAGTCACACATTAAAGGGTTTCATTTAAAATATGAATTCGGGTCTTTTGGGGGAAAATCTCAGTAGTAGGAAGTGAAAGAATTCATTTTTGGATATGCATTTCAAATAACATAGTCTTTTGATTATCACAAGGCTTTCTTTTTTAAAAAAAAATAATGTGAAAAAGAATTAGGTTCAATTGAAAATATTTGCATATGCCAATATAACCCAAGGGCTGTTGATGTGATAGCCCACCCCTTGCATAGTCAGACATAAAGATGAGGCAGAAAAGCTGCACTTATGTGGTACCAGGGAGGCTCATCACGTCACGTAGACCCGTTACATGTTACTTAGTCACTCAGTCCTTGATAGTACCTCTAATCCCTCACTGTTTTGATTACCTAAACATGAGATGCAAATAAGGAAAAATTGTACAAATAGATTTCTTTTGCCATTCTCCATACTAACATATGTCAAATTTGGTTTTAGCATAAATAAAAAAAAATCTCTTCAAAACAACATTTATTACAGACGGTAAAACAACATGGAGAGAAACAGAGTTGACTCCACTGAGGAGTCAATAAGGAGTGTGACTTAGCTAACACTAAGTTACATAGAAAAAATGATCCTTGGTCTTCTTTTATTTATTATGCTTAGTAAACAAGACAATTTGTCAGTCTTGATCATAAACTATGAGCAGTGAAGTATATTCATTTGACAGAATACCAATCCAATCGGCAGAATAAATCTCGGTTCTCAGAGCAGAGCAGAATGGAAATTTGACATTCCTCCAAATAGGACGGCCAGAGAAAGGCCTACTGTGATTGTCTTGAAGCTTCCAGGCCTGTAGTCATCACACAGAATAGTGACCGCAATGTCAGTCATCATCAGAACACTTGCACCAGACTCTGAGTTCACGCTCACAGAGGGGACTCGGCATCTCATTTCCATTCACCTTGAGCGCCAAGGTGGTGGGAATTTAACAGCAGCTATTTGCTAACAGCCCTCACACCTCACAGGCACGCAGACACCAAGTTCCCACTTAGTGCCTAAAGCAGAGGGTCACTAGGTCTCACTGGTGTAACTGCACAGGAGAACGGCTGAAAAGATCGCTTTGTCTTCTTGCTTTTCTTATCCGAGAGACACAGCCCCGGTAGCTCAACCTTCCCTCTAATTACCAGCTGTGAAGCTTCTCTTTGTGACCTTGACAGCTTCTCCACTCCGCTAGCTCTATTGATGGAAGTTGTCATGTCCCAGCCTTGCAAGTCTTTTACCGAGTGGATTGACCATGCTCAAACTCTTAAAGTTCTCCAACTTTACACAAACACTTCAGCAGCTGAGTTTCTGCTTAAATACACCTTTGACACACTCCCTCCTTGGCAGCTTCCAATTACACTTTATTGACTGAAGTTGCCGATGTTGGAGACAGCACACACTGCTCTCCTAGCTGGGGCCTGCTATTGACCACATTTGCTAACACTGGAGAAGGAGCATGCGGCTTTGTTACCTGTGGCTTCAGATTGTTCTAATTCACAGCTAGGTAGGAACTGTTCACTTTTGTCAATTTTCGTCACCTTCAAGATGACTGTATTGACGTTGATTCCACTTAAGTGTCTCACCAGAAACAATAGAGGATCCTAAGACGTGTCCATTGCAAGTGATTTTTCATTAGCACGTTGCAAAAGCCATTTTGGATAAATTGAAATACTTAATAATTGGCTTCCACCCTTTTCAAGCCTCAGTAGGACATGTTCTGCTTCAATTGGTAGAACTTAGGTTCAAACTCTATAAATCCTTTTATGAAATCTATATGCCCATAGAGGGCCCTCTCTAAAGACAATGGTTCTTTGTTGATATTTTAAGATGAGATATGCCTTTATGTAGTTCAAAACACAGAAGGGTTTATTTACCCTTTGTATATAGATTTTATATGCAGATGGAAACACAAAACACATCATAAGAGGCAAGAGAATTCAGGATTCTATTTACTTTGAAATGCTATCTTATGTCCCAACTCATTATGAAGCTGAGAACAATCTTGTACTTTATTGTAGGAGGCCGGTATTTAGTTCCCAAAATAATCACATATTTTTTTCAAATACTGTTTGGCTAATAGCTTAAGCATATTTCTGGCTAACTCTTATATCCTAAACTAGCCATCTCCATTAATGTGTGTATCGCCACGTGGCTGTGGCTTACCAGGTAAAGAGCATCTGTCTCTGGCAGGGCTAAGTGACTTCTCTAAACTCCGACTTCCTTCTCCCAGCATTGAGTTTAGTTTTCCCCATCTAACTCTACTCTTCTTCCCTATCACAGGCCAAGACAGTTTCTTTATTAACTAATGGTATTCACAGCATATAGAGGGGAATCCCACATCAGAGCTTCAGATCTTCTTGTTTCCCGAGGCATGTAACCCAAGTGATAAGTTATGTGGTGTTGGGGCACAGACCCAGGGCATAATGCAAAGGCAAGCACTCTGTCAACTGAGCTAAATCTTCAGACTTGGGTTTCTTTTCTTTCTTTTTTTTTTTTTTTTTTTTGATTTTCTAGACAGGGTTTCTCCGTAGCTTTCGGTTCTTGTCCTGGAACTAGCTCTTGTAGACCTAGTAGGCCTCAAATTCAAAGAGATCTACCTGCCTCTGCCTCTCGAGTGCTGGGATTAAAGGCGTGCGCCACCACAGCCCAGCTCTAGACTTGGGTTTCTTATGTATTATTTTATTCTACAACTGTCCTTGCTTATATAACATTATTCTATGTGTGTCTCCTAGATATATTGATAATTCATTTGTAATAGTAAAATGCTCTAGCAAAGAAAAGATAGATTAATGCCGAGAATCAAGATGAATGTAGATCAATATTGAAATAATCTAACCAATCACTCCTGCCAATACATTTACTTGCTGTGTTCTTTTCCGCAGGTGCATAATCAGTGGGCATAATGTATCTTAATATAACATTTAAGGCATTTGTTCTCCCCTCTGTTTCTAGTTCTGGACTGAGATTCTCAAATTAACAAGGTGGGGGCAGTGTTGGCCAAGATGGTCTTGATGTTCTCTTCTGCTTGATTAAATTTCAACAGGTTTCTGACTATAGACACCAGTTT